ACTGCGGCATTTGAAAAGATCTCAGGGAATCAGTGTAGAGATGGGTGGTAGGGGGTCTGATAACAAGGATGCCGCAGCGATGGCCAAGGAAAGATGAGGCAGCCTGTGTTAACCCAGCTGGGACCCGCTGACACCTGAGCACATGCACTTCAGGCAAAAGTGTGTGGTGCAACACCTGTCTCTTCCACCAGAGGGCGAATCCACCTCAACACACAGCCGGTTTCCAGAATGAGTAAGGGTTGGGGGTGGGAAGAGTTGATGGATGGGCCACAGGTGAACCTGGTCCTCTGACCCTGGGCTCTGCACACCTTTTTTTTCCCCCCAGATGCTAGAAATGCTTTTTTATCAATCTCTTGTTCCACAGAGTCATGGTGGAGACACCCTATATATATAGGTGGACCCTACCTCTTTTTAGAATTTTAAAGTTCAGGGGCTAATCCAGCTGTTGTATATTTACCCCATGGAATACTATGCAGCTCTAAGAAAGAAGGAACTCTTACCCTCTTCGACAGCATGGATGGACCCGGAGAGCATTATGCTAAGCAAAGTAAGCCAGTCAGAGAAAGACAAATACCATATGGTCTCACTTATATGTGGAACCTAATGAACAAAATACACTGACGAACAAAATAGAACCACAGGCATGGATACTGGAGCAGACTGACAGGTGTCAGAGGGAAGGGTAGTGGGAGAGACTAGATGAAAGAAGGTGAAGAGATTAGCCAAAGAACACATATGCATAACCCGTGGACACAGACAGCAGTAGGGTGAAGGCCAGAGGGAGGGGTGGTGGGGGCTGGCTGGAGATGGGCAAAGGGCAGGGAGAACAGGGACATCTGTAACTGTCGATAATAAAAAATAAATAAAATTCAGGGGCTAATCCTGTATCCCAGAGAACCCCCAGCTCCGGAGAAGTAGGCAGATGCCTCTGGCTCTAGAAAGAGAAATTCAGGCAGTTCTCTGCCCCCTGGGGCCACTGGAGGGGCGTGAAGTCCCAGAAAGCCCTCTTTACCGGCTCCTGCGCTGACCTGTCAGTTCTTTGTTTCTGGGGCATTTGGACAACTCCCCCTCCCCCCACCAGTGTGCAGAGGGTAAAGGGGAAGGAGGGGAGAGGTACTCACAACACCCATGAGTGCCACCCCTGAGCCCACGTTGATGATTGTGGGGATGATGTTGAACTTCCCTGCCTGAAGCACAGAGAGAGACAAGGCGGGGTGAGGGAGCAGGTGGATAGCAGGGTCCCTCCCAACATGCCTGCCCCGCCCTGGACCTGCCCAGGCTCCCAAGGGGAGACGCAGCTCACGCACCCTGCCATTCACCAGGACATCAAAGCGGATCCCGTAGGCTTTGATCAGGGTGCGGAACTCCACCCCGGCTTCATCGCGGTAATATTTGGCAAACCTGGGGAGACACAGCCCAGGGGAGACCTCAGCCTTCCTGGGCCTTTCCTGTTTGGCAACAGACTCAGCTGCTTTTGAGATTTATAAGCATCCTGGGACCTCGCTCACAGCAGCCCCGGGAGAGGTTTCAGACCCTCTTGCTGACATGCCTAAGATTCATCCAGATCTTTGAAGTCCTTGTCAGACATCCCCAAGAGGCAGGGGCTTTCCCACTGCACACTGGGCCAACCGGGGGCCACCAGAGAACGGATAGAGCTCAGCCAGCTGAGAAGTCAGGCCTCAGCTTTGCCCGGAGCCCAGGGCGATGACCCACCCTCTCTCCCCTCCCAGAGGCCATCCCTCTCTCTCCCTGTACCTCCTCTGACATCCCCAGGAAGGGGTGTCACAGCGCTGGCACCCAGGGAAGGACACGAAACATGGACAGAGTCATAGGCAGCAGGCCCAGTCTGTTACCTGAAGTTATACCCGGAGGAGACAGAGTTCCCGGGAAACCTGCGGTCCAGCCGGCTAAAGTAATAGCGAGGGTTGCATTCAGAAGGAGCTTTGTCGAGATCACAGTCCCACTCGATCTGGATCCCTATCACACCACCCTGGATGGGAAAGAGGAATCATGTCTGGGAGATGGACAGCTGGACAAGACTAGCCTGGCTGGAGCGTCCTGGAAGGGAGGTGGAAGGCCCAGGAGGGGCTGGGGAAAGTGTTGCCGACAGCCCCCAGCCCCCGCCGCCTCCTGCCTCCTGCTTCAGAGAAGACGAGAACTCCCCGGTGAGCACCAACTACACTATGGGCAGGCACCTTACACACAGCCAGGATGTGCCCGTGGGGCTCCTTTTGGTTCAGTTTCAGCTGCTGCCCAAGCGACTAAGAGCCAAACGGCAGGTGCTGAGTGTGCCCTCACTGAGTGCCCGAGGTCCGAGCGCAGGCACAGCCGGCTGTGTCACAGCGAATTCTGAAAACAGGAAGTCCCTGGGGCAGGTGACTTTGCAGGGCCACCCCCACCCCATGGCCCCCCACACACACCCCTCCCCATTCAGACCCCTGAGGCCCCAGGGAAGGCTCCCTGAGGGCACGCCACCCACCTGCAGGGCTATCTCCTGGAAGTTGCTCCCCGTCCAGCTGACCACAGACCCCAGTCGGAAGATGGGGCAGTAGGGGTCCTTGGGGCCAAACCGACAGGACCTCAGGTAAGCTCTGTCTTTGGTGTCCAGCACATTGGTCCTGAGGGGCGGCCATGAACAGACGGTGAAATGAAGGTAGACTTGCTGTTTCCAGGCTTAGTCCCTGACTTCAGCCCTCGGCCGGAGCCCCAACCACATCCACGCTAACATCCCACCGCATTCAAGAACAGACCCCCACCCCACAGGAGGGAGGGGCGCCCAGCATCTCCCTGCGGTCCATTCACACACACACACACACAGGGGCCTATGCACAGCCACCAGGAGGGCCAGCCATGGCCCCAGCCCTGGGTCCCCATAGCCGAGCCCCACATACTTGGAGAAGTTGAATTTAGGGAAACGAATGAAGTTCTTTATGTAAATGGTGAAGTCTTCAGCCTTGCCCAGGAGAGGCTTCCTGAAAACCCAGCCAGGACAGCCTGTTTAGGAAGCCCGCCCTCCACACCCCCCCCCCCCCCCCCTTAAATACATGGATCATTGTCAAGCAACCCCCCGGCCCCAGGCCGAAGTTTGGCCCACGCCTTCCGTTCTCCACGTGGCCCCGGAGGCTCTCATAACAAAAAGATAACTAGATCAGGGTGCGAGGGAAGTTATCCGCTTTTTAAGTGAGCAATTCGGTCTGGGGTCTCGGGAGACGGCCCGGCTCTACCATCCGGACCTGGG